ATACACAATACATACACACATATACACAATACTACACACATAATAACCACACACTACACACACACACAACACACACACACACACAACACACACACACACACACACACGCATGAATACAAAGGCCTAGTGTCTATCGAAATGTGCCTAGGACCAAATGGTACCTCTAACTTACACACACACACACACACACACACACACACACACACACACACAACACACCACACACACACACACACACACACACACACACACACACACACACACACACAGAGTGCAAAGAGGCAGGACCCTGCCACTTGAGTTCTGCTACCACAAATAGGCGAGTATACGCATATATACACATACACCCTTGCACCTCTTTCACCCCACTTTTTGCCCCACCTCCTTTATCGCTCCCTTTCCTTATTATTTTTTATCAAGCACATAAGGTAAAGGTGCTTCACACCCATGTTCCTTACTGTAATCTTTTATTATTCAGTAGTGTTTGTCTTAGTTTGCCTGAAGATGTGTGCATGCTGTCAGCTTTTACCACAAATTATATTACTTTTGTTTGTTTTCTGTAATAATCATAATCATTGTTTTAATATTGTGCTGTGTTCAACTAGGTGATTTTTCAAATTCATACAGTCATAATGTTAACTCATAATGTATATGTATTATTACATTATTATTAGCATTCTAGGAGAAATATGACAAACATGTACTAAATATTGCAAATAAATTTAAGTTTTTGAGGTGGCCATGAAGAGCAGATGAGTGTAGTATAAGCAGATCCTTAGTGAGTTGTGTAATGGTATTTGAGCAAGAGGAAGGTAACCTTGAGACTTATGCTGGCTCTACTGATAAACAATTTTCTGGATGTTTTGAGATATTCTCTGGGGAGGGTGGGGGTCACCTTATACCTGCACAGTGTTGTTTAACATTTATGTAAGTTGCAACTTACTTGTACTTAGTTTTTTTGTGTGTAAAGTAGGTTGTCTTATTTGCTAAATAAGTTTAATAATGTAAATGTTTCTGCTAGAGTTCATTAGATGCTAACATTAATGAAATTAAATGGTGAAACTGAGTAGTAATGAACAAAATATTCTCTAAGATTAACTTTTTTTGCAGTCAACTATTCGTGTCAGTATTTTTTGGATATACTGTACAGTAGACAGTAGGACCGCCATGTCTGCAGGTCCAGTTTCAGTGATTTCAGTTATCTGTGGTTTACCCTGGCCTGATATAAACCCTTAATTTTGTTTTATAATGATCCCCAAGTGTAAAAGTAGTGAGGTGGCAGTTGTTCATACCTAAGAAAAGAAAAGTGCTTCCATAGCCTAAGAGAAGCCATAAAGTGCTTCCCATCATAGCCTAAGAGAAGCCATAAAGTGCTTCCCATCATAGCCTAAGAGAAGTCATAAAGTGCTTCCCATCATAGCCTAAGTGAAAGTAAATTTCATAAAAGATTATGAAATATTTCATAGATTTAAAAAAAAACAATTTTACATAGGTTAAAACCATGGTTTGGGTATCATGAGTTGGAAGTACCCGAGAATGGGGGTCAGGCTAAATGTTGCATATCATGGATGTATGTTCTTAAAAAGCTAAGTGATTAGGTTGCTTTTTTAAGCTGGTTTTTTTTATACTGCTAAATGATCAAATGCACCCCTCCTTCCCTTAACACTACTGTACATTATGACTAAGAGTAAGTGATTTAACAAGTACAAGTTGCATAACATTACAATGTTTTACTAAAGTTTCTTATATTAACAGTTGGATTGGGTTATCATTTGCCAATATGTCAGTACATAATAAGGTATTTCAACATTTTAATTTATAAAGAATGCTGTTAGTTTACATTGCACTTAAGGAAATACAGTGGAACCTCAAATATCGAACTTTCTTCAGTCCAGAAGGCTGTTCAAGTGCCTTTACCGAATGAATTTATTCCCATCAGGAATAATGTAAATTAAATTAGTCCATTTCAGACCCTCAAAAATACACTTATAAAAGCACTTACAAAAATACACTTACATAATTGGTTGTGTTAGGAGCAGTTCGATTTTTGAGGTTCCACTGTACGATAATACAGTAATAAAATAATAGCAGTTTATTTTTTATATTGAAATGTCTTATTGTACGGGGTAGTGTAGGTATCTGGAGTTTATCTGGAGAGAGTTCCGGGGGTCAACGCCCCCGCAGGCCCGGTCTGTGACCAGGCCTCCTTAGGTCAGTGTCCCAGGATGCGACCCACACCAGTCGACTAACACCCAGGTACCCATTTTACTGATGGGGAACATAGACAACAGGTGGAAAGAAACACGTCCAATGTTTCTACTCTGGCTGGGAATCGAACCCAGGCCCTCACCGTGTGAAGCGAGAGCGTTAACCACCAGGCCACCAGGACTGTTGATGCAAGTGTCTAGACTTTCATGAACTCAAAGGATGCTGATCAACATTGAGTTTGATAACTTTTAGATGATTGTGGCAGTGTTACTTATCACTTTTATTTTTCTATAAAAAGCCCTGAAATCATTCACAAAAATGTAGCATTTTCAGAAAAACTGCTGCCCAGTTACCTGGGTTATAGGAGTGTGGGCCATGTTGACAAAGTATCTAATAATGAAGCCAGGTCTCGGCCCTGCCTCCTGGGTTGGCTTAACCATCATCTACTGGACTCGTATTAAAATCCTGGGCTCTGTCATACCTGATCACCACTTTGTCGATCTCATATCACTTTTTAATCGCCCTAAGATTAGAGAAATTCTGAACTTTCTAAAAGGCTGCATGACTCCTCTGCATTTTTAGCGTCTGTCAATGTGCCCCCCCCCCTCTCTCTTCTCTCTCTCTCTCTCTCTCTCTCTCCACATCCTCCTTGTGAATGCCTCTTGAGATTCTGTATGTCATAATTGTATCCTCTCTTCCTGGGTCATCAGATTTAGTTTTTTGAGCCTCCCTGGCTTGTATTTATCTCGTATTCCTGGCTCTTGTTTATCCCAGCTTTGAGACAGTCTTGTAAACCTGTGAACGTTTCTCTAGCAAAAGCTAGAGAAACGTTTTTCTCTGTGCTTCATCATGTGGGTTTTCACCCTGGGGCTTCATTTGTCATGAGGGGCCCTACATCTGTCATGGTACAGTGAAACCTCTACTTGCAAGTTTAATCCATTCCGTGACCTTACTCGCAACTGGATTTGCTCGTTTGCAGTGTCATTTTCCTCATTTAAATTAATTGAAATGCAATTAGTCTGTTCCAGTGGAATTCTGTACCTCAATTTCCATAATATCAACTCTACGGCTTATTTATCTATCAAAATTCAACTAATATGACATAATAAACAATATAAATAACATAGAAACCTGATATATACACTAAAATGAGTAAAATATGTAATTCACATAGTGGTATGGGCAGTGTCGGTGGTGGACGAGTGTCTGGAGACTGGACAAAATATTTCTTGAATAATTTCACTAATATCATCATTACGGCTTATTTGTCTATCATAGTTCATCTAATATGACATAACTAACAATATAAATAACATAGAAACCTGATATATAATCTAGAATGAATAAAATACGTATGTCATTTTGTAACAGGTGGAGGCAGCCATAACCGCTCCCTCTTTGTTGTGGTAAACACTGCCATTTAGTGACGGCCTTTTGAAGCCTCTATTATTATAATTATGTAGTACATTATTATTATATACATATTATAATTATTATTATTATTATTATTATTATTATTAGCACTATTATCATTATTATATGTATACTATTATTATTATACTTATTATTATACATATTATTTTCATTATTATTACAATATAAATAATTTGTAATTTTTATTCACACAAAAATAAAAGATTTACTGTTATGCAGACTACTGCATTATTGCAATAATTGCAAAAATAATGTCAACCCATTCACGACTGCATATTGGAATAAACAGTAACGTCATTTGTTTACTCTTGAACATAGCCAAAGAATCGAACATTTCTCCAACGTTGAGCTCAATTTCAAGGTACATTTCATCATGAAAGCAATCAAAATCATATCTATTTCTGTAATATCTTCCATTCTATCAAATGAGACCAAAAGAAAATGAGAATACAACCATAAAAACCATACGAAAATATCGCTAAGGTGTGGCTAATTGCTGAGAAGTGAACTCCATTATTTATGCTCCGAATTCTTTCATTTTTGGTGTATGTTAAGAAGCATCTTTCCATCATACATTGCCCAAGTTTCAATAAGATAGTTCATCAAACAAATGAGATCCAATTCCCTAGATCAAGAGCAAGAGCCCCTCACCAGCGTCAAGGAAATTTGGAAATTATGGAAATTTGGCTCGCGTTATGGAAGCAAAAAATCGACCCATCGACTGCTCGTATTTGGAAAAACTCGCATGTGGATGCGCTCGCAAGTAGAGGTTCCACTGTACAGTGTCCTAAATGATTCTTAATTTATATGTTGAATGCTATTCTAAGATTTGCTAGCTGCAAACATGCTGCCACTGTATTTGTTGCAGTTGTGACTCTAAGGTCCTTTACTTTCTCTGTGCTGTATTTTGATGTACCTGAAATGTAACAATTTTTGGTGTATATAATAGTAATTGTTTACCTGAAGCCACACTTCCTTTCAAGACTTTTGCCTGATTAGTTGCATTGAAAAATATCCATGAAATACCTAGCATTTTAAAATGTTGTACTGTAAGGCATTGTAGTAAGAGGAAGTACTTTAGTGTCAACTATACTTTTGCTATACTGTTGGTGTCTTCAAGAAGGCACTGGGCAGGCACCTAAAGTCAGTACCTGACCAGCCGGGCTGTGGTTCGTATGTTGGGTTGCGTGCAGCCAACAGTAACAGCCCAGTTGATCAGGCCCTGATCCGCCATGAGGCCTGGTCACAGACTGGGCTGCAGGAGTGTTGTCCTCCGACGCCCTCTCAGGTATACTCCTGGTATATCTGCTTAATTTTTTTTTAACAATGATTACTAACGGTTAATATTCTGTCTTCAGCACCAACATGGTGATGAACTACACAGAGGTGGAAGCCAAAGTTCGAGAAGCCACAAACGATGAAGCTTGGGGGCCAACAGGTACACACCTCTTTTATGACATTGTGATTAGTTTAGCATGTGTCATAGATATTAACTATTGGTGACCCTTTAATAGTTCATAATTCATTTATATCTTGATAAAATTGACTTAATCTACTTCATTATTTTTCACGTGAATGAATATGTTCATTATATATGGCATTGTGTTAGACAAGTCTCATTCATAATTCGTTTTTTCTTTACATTCGTCTTAAAGTACTCTCTCAAGTGAGAGCATTGATCGTGACTCCATACTTTAACATACTCTGTCTTTCGATTTTTTTTCTTTTTGCAGTAAATTACAGTATATTTATATTTGTATGTGTATGTATGTATGTATATTATTTTGTATATGTATGTATTATGTAATTTTTATTTTTTGAACACGCTTATTTCTCGCTAAGGCAGGGTGGCCCTAAGAAGAAACATTCATCAGCATTCATTCAGTTTCCATTATTCGAGAAGTGTGCTGGCATCACAGATTACCCTTTGACTGTAACATCCCCATCTTTCCTTCATATTGCAGACACTGCCCTTCGAACCTCCAGGACTCAAGTCTTGCTAACTGGTTTTCCTGAATCTCTTCATAAGTTACCTCACTCTAACTCTGACAGTACCTCCATGAAAAACCACTTGTCTCCATTCGCTTGTATTTAACACGCTCGTGCAAACCTACTGGATGTTCAAGTCCCTAAAACCCGAAAGGTTCTTGTACATTCACTGGGAAGCCTGGTCAGGGACCAGTCCACATGGGCACTGACCCTCAGAACACTCGGGCAGACTCCATATAGACTCCCTTCCTCCGGCTGTTGCTTTTGTCAGCCTATCCATGTCCATCCTCTACACTGCCAAACCACCTCAGCAACACCTGATTTATACCCATGGTCTCCCCACACCACCTTTTAATTTTCTTCGCACTGAATTTCCTGCATGATGTTCACTTCTCTCTCCCTCTTCCCCTCCCCCTTGGTTATCAGTGTGTCTGTGGAGAACATTCCAATTGGAGGTGGCAAGCACATGTTGTGCTTGATTATTTTTCACCTTGTTCTGTTGGAATCTTAAATGTTGTAAAGAAAGCCTTTTAGTCAGATGATCCAATATAACCAAGAGCTTTGTGACTGTGCCTTCGTATAGATTACTCACTACTAGGCCAGAGATGTGGGTAAAGAAGTAAACAAAGTTTTTCATGTCAAACATTGCAAGTTCATCAGGATCCCTCTGTATAAGATGTTGGTTGAGGTCACCAACAATTATTATTTGTTGACATTTACGTTGAAGCAGAAGGGAGTCCACATATTCTATCAGGAAGTTGGTCTGCTTACTGCCATTAAGGTCTGTACATTTCCTGTGCTAGTACAGAGGTACCAGGGTTTATACATAACCTGAAGAACATCATTTTCAAGTGATTAGGAATGGCAACATCAATGAGCTGGGCATGTACACTCTTAGAGAAGCCTATGGCAGTTCTGCCTCCATGGCCTTCCTTATCTAGTTGCATCCATGAAGTGCAGTCAACAAAAATTTTCCAGAGTCCTGGTGTCCAAAAATGTTTCAACAAAGGCCATCATGTCAGTACTATGAGTTTTCATGAAACTGTGTATAAGCTCACCAACATTGGTAATGAAGTCTCTAATATTGGCAGACAGAATGCTGATAGACGGGCTCCTCATGTTGGGATTCAGCTTGACTAAATAGGCGTGTCAGGTGTTTGCCTTTGAGACAGGCATGACACTAGGGCAGCCATTGGGATGTGGCTGTGTTTGCTGTAATACTGGTAAGGCTATGACAGCCATCTCCCACAAAGGCAGGGTGCTCAGTTTCCACATTAAAAAGAAAAAATCTAATGAAAAATTAGCAGTCGGGCACATTTATACATAGGCAATTTTGCCAGCTTTGAATCCTATTGTAACCCAGTTCCAGTGCTCAATTGGACCTAATTCTTAGCTAATCCACTAGTCTTCCCATAGTTCAATTGCTTGCAGACTCGGCTCACACATTAAGGCCCACGGTTCAATCCCCGGTTAATATTAGTGGAAACATGAGGACATGTTTCTGTAAGACAACTGCTGTCTCTGTTCACCCATCAGTAAAATAGATACCTGGGTATTAGCCAGTGTAGGTTGCATCTTGGGGGATAAAATTGACCTAATTTGTCCAAAATGCTCAGCATAACAAGAAGCTTTCTATATAGTAGTATGTTGGCTACACCTGTATACCTTGTACATGTAGAAATAAATATTATACACCTACCATTCGACTTACGACCGAGTTCGGTTCTGAGAAACCGGTCGTAAGTCGAAATGGACGCAAGTTGAACTTTACTACTGAATATCAGCATCACATTTTTGTAATGATTTTATTGTTTTTTTTTTTGGTATTTCATGTTTTACTTTACTTTTTTTGCTGTTAGTACTGTATTTTATACTGTAAGGTTTAGGATAAACACTGTGTACAACACAAATAGTTGTTTATTTCCCAGAAATTTGGCATAAAAAACATGGTCGTAAGTCGAGTGGTCATAAATCGAGCAGGTCGTAAGTCGGATGGTAGGTGTATTATTATTAGCATGCTTTCGGTTCTGTCAGTTGAGCACAAGAGACTGCCTATTCAACTATCAAAACTACCCTGTAAAGTTTACAGAATTCAGCAATTTGGAAAATTTTACTCAAAATTTAAAATATTCCAGTTTAACCCCTTGACTGTCGCGGTCGTATATATCCATCATGGGAGATACCGTGTTTGATGTATCTGTACGCATAAATTCTAGCGGCTTCAAATCAAGCGGGAGAGGGCTGGTAGGCCTACATGAGAGAGAATGGGTCTCAGTGGTGGGTGTGCACCCTGTGAAAAAATCTGGAACTCAGTGGTGCATTGTGGGAACGCCATCTTGGTAGTCCATTTTCACCATGCCTTGCGGTAAGAAGTTCCTCACTCCTCGGCGGATTGGAGGTCTTTTGTTCCCAAGTGATAGTTCAAACCGATGAAAGTGTCAGTGAAAGTGAATTCCCTGGTTTTGAAGCGGGTGTGACCGAAAAAAGTGCCCAGGATAATGCAATTAGTAATGAAAACCCAGATGGCCCACAACCTTCCACCTCTGGTGCTGGGCTGGCTTGTTCATGTTCACCTGTACCAGGATGAAAGAGGAAACTATTTGCCCGTGTACAAGACTCAGATGTGAGCAGTGTAAGTGATAGTGATAGTGATTTCAAGGTTATTGAAAGCAGTTCTAGTTGTGACAGTGAGGGTGAATATTCCCCAGTGAAGCGGCAGTATATACGACGTCGCATGCGGTCTGGTAGTGTGCCATATGCTCTTCCAAGAGGAAGGAGTACATCTCGGAGCACATCCCGTGGCCCTACACCACGACCTGATAGTGAAGATGACGATATTGTTACGATGGGTATCAGTGATGCGAGTGAGGCAGCAGGCGGTGGTGGTGATAGTGGCACGAGTCATGTGACACCAGCAGCGGGCCACACTACTACCCACGCTGCTGACTCTGCACAATTACAACCAACCTCGCCCTACCCCACACTACCACAACAACCACAACCTGCACAACCACAACCATGTTACAATATCCAGAACCCACCAGCTGACCGCATCTGGGATTGGCAGCAAGGTAACGAGTTTGTTCCAAGTCCCCATGACTTTGATGGAGGACAAAGTGGAATACAGCCATCATGTACACTTGGGAACTATGCCACTGAACTGGAATGCTTTCAGTTGTTCTTCGATGAACCCCTGATGGACATTATTGTCAGGGAAAGCAATACATACTTTGAGTACACCATGGCAAACACTATTCTTTCACCAAGATCACGCCTACACCAGTGGAAGGACACAACTGTGACAGAGATGTATCTGTTCTTTGCCACAATAATGCTTATGCCACGTGTGTATAAGCACAGTGTCAACACATACTGGACGACATACCGCCTGATTTCAACCCCTGCTTTCAGTGACATTATACCAGTGAATAGATTTGTTACTGTTACGTATGTTACACTTTTCAGACAAAAGGCCTGACAGAAGCGACAGGTTATATAAGATCAGACGTGTGTTTATGTACCTGAAAAAAAATGTGCTGTATGTATTTTTATCCCTTCAGGAAGCTTGTTATTGATGAGTCTTTGATTTTGTTCAAAGGAAGACTCTCATTCAAACAGTATATACCAAGCAAGAGGAAACGCTTTGGTATAAAGTTATTTGTTCTGTGTGATTGCAAAACTGGTCTGGTTTTGGATATAATTGTGTACACTGGTGGTAAAACATAGGAAGATACCAGAAAGTTACTGGGTATCTCTGGTGATGTGGTTAGAACAATGATGGAGCCATATCTTGGTAAGAGGCATATTTTATATACTGACAACTGGTACACAAGCCCTTTACTCAGTGAATTCTTGCGAGTGAACATGACAGATATGTGTGGTACAGTGCGTGGAAATCGTAAACATATGCCTAGGTTCGATGCTGGCAGTCGTAGAGGTGAAGTGCAGGTGTTTGCTGCCAATGACATCATGGCATTTCGGTGGCATGACAAACGTGATGTCACACTGCTGACATCAGTTCACCGACACGAAATGGTAGACACTGTCAAGCAGAATCGAGACACCAATGAACCCATTGTAAAACCTGCAGCTGTGATGGATTACAACCTCAGTATGCGCTTAGTGGACAAATGTGACATGCAGATTGGGTTTGCTGACTGTATTCGCAAGAGTTATAAGTGGTACATAAAACTGTTTTTCCATCTTGTTGACATTTCCATGCTGAATGCTTATAATATGTACAAGTTGAAGACCAAGAACAAACCCAAATACAGTGTATGGTGAATTTTGTTTTTCAGTCATCAGACAAATAATATTCAAGTACCAAGGAACAACACCTGCAATAGACCAGCGCCCATGAAATCAACACGTGTCCTCTCGTCTGAGGCCTGGTGATCACTACCCCATACCACTGCCTGCTACTGCTCTCAAGAAAAATGCTCAGAAGAG